AGGTATCCAGTGTGCATACTTGTCACCCGAGCCACTGTAGGAGCACAGGGCGCGTCGCTTCCCGAGAACGCTGTAGCATGATTAGAAAAACAGGTTGAGTGAATATCCATGAAATTTCTTGGGAGTTAGGTACAGGAAACGTCCCCAGCGTCTTCCGGATTTGGGTCGAGGTAATATCTGTAGGCTTTGCACATCCAAGTGCCAACTGCAAGGCTGCAGGTAGTGCATGCTGCGGTGGCCCTCTGGGGGGCGCTCATACGCCATTGACAGTTGCTAGCTGAACAGGGGTCCATGCATCCCTGGTGAGTACGGAGTCATTGCTTCGGCCGTTGAGTCGTGAAACCAACTTCGATCGCCCAACACGTACGTAAGACACCAACTCAGCGGAAGTTGAGCTCCCTGTTACCCTCAACTTGGTTTGGCCCGCCTGTCAAGCGGTTTACCGGGGTGTGACCACTGTTGCATTCAAACAGCTTCTGGGAGCCAAAGGTGAGAGCTGGGCACCTGGTGGAGACCAAAGAACGGGGGATATCCGAAAGGGGTCGACAGCCCACCGATTCAGAGGTGCTAATCCTACCGGGTACCTCATACACCCCCTAATCTTGATTCCCTTTTCCCCACCCCAGTACTACCTTTTAGAGTGATGCACGGTAGAGTAAACAACACCCCATAGTTGCGACGACTTAATGCTCGTTCAACGGATCTGATAACACCGAACTTGGAACGCAAAGGGAAGACGTTTTGGGCCCTGGTTGTGTAAGCATGATACTGATCCAGGAGTAATCAAAGCTGCGAACCACCAACTGTTTGGGGTGGCTATCGCATTTGCTTCATCGGACCTAAGTGCCCGAAGCACGGAATCGATACTACCTGATGGTGGTACTTGTTTCAAGCTAGTCAGTGAGCCTCCAGAGTGGGAAACATTGTTAGCGAGCTTTAACTGCGCCTTTGTTTCGAATGTACATAAAAGATTGCTGGTAACTACAAACGGATAATAACTAAACATGTGGTGCAGTTGAAGTTTATCCGGAATAGCCACATTAGCAACATATCAGATGATATTCCAAGCAGATAGGTCTGGTCACCTAGGTCTTGACTTTACTTATCTGACCGGTTCCACACAATCCCGCTGCCTTGCGGCTCAGGCTCTCGTTAACCAAAGGCTCCGGATTTGGATTCCTCAAGAAAATCCACCTGCCTTGGTATGGGCAACCTGGCAGTATCCCGCCCACATGCAACTCATGGAACGTTTTTCTTTCTCATAACTATTATTGTTTCATATGTATATATACATATATATACATATATATACATACATATATATATATATATATTCCACGCAATTCTAAGGGTAAACACCAAGATTGTACAGTTGCTGGTTGATGGTACTTCCCTCTCTAGTTCAGTCTTGTTCGACGTTGTCTAACTAGACCCCACACCCATGACTATA